TCAGCGTTGATATTGTGGCGTGTCCTGTCACCACAAATAAATCCATGAATGGGAAACACTGCAGTGTCGTGCAGATTCTAGATACTGTTTTTATGTCATCTTAGTTCTGATAGTGAGTTAGATAAAATCGCCTTAATATCAGTGCATGAAAAACCAATTGCTGATCATCCCTTCAATTGTCGTTAAGCCAACTGCCAATCGGAACAACCCTAATTCTACCCAATTGAATTAATAGGACATAATTAGTAAAGGAACACCCCTGTCTATGTAAAGTTCTCAAAGTTGATGGTGCATGTAAGATCAAAAAGCAAGCCATAATGTTGAAAGAATTGTCCTTAGACTTGTGGGACAGGATTGTGTCATAGCACAGATCTGGGGAAGGATGGAAGAAAATTTCTACAGCACTAAAAGAGCATGGTAGCATCCACCTGACCACAATTAATGACGTGTGTTATGGAAACTAGTCACTGAGCAATACCTCATTAATGCCATCCCTACAGTCAAACACGGCTCCCCATCCAACCTGGTTGAGCTTGAATGATTCTGCTGAGAAAAATTGGAAGTCCCATAGAAAAGTGTGCAAAGCTTGTAGGGTCATTACCCACCAGAGGTGAGGTGCATTAACCAAGTATTAAGTGAAGTAAATGGGATCTTTCAGCCTTTTATTTATAAATTAACCAAACAATCCAAAAACATGTTTCTGGATTAGGGGTTAATTGTTTTGGAGTAATGCGTGTAGACTGATGAAAAAAAATAAAAACAAGTGGAAAACTTGAAAGGCTCTGAAAACTTTCTCTATGCGCTGTAACTGAAAATATACTTTAAAAGGGGCACATAATAAGATAGCAAACTTATATAAGTTTTATAATGCAAAGATAAAATATTTCTGCACTAAAACTAATGTTTCCACTTTAAGTTGTAGGAAAACAAATACTGATGATGTATATCATATAGATAACCTTTTAGCACATGTCAAAGCAGCACGCGTTTCCCCCTCATATTCAACACTGTTGGAAGATAAGCTTATTTTCTCTCACATGCAAAATGAGCCTCATTGTATGAGTCTGCATATTTCTGTTGTGTCTATAAATTATGTAAATAACATAATTCTTTATGAAAAGATGCTATAGTCAATGTGGCCACACAGCAGGGAAAATTATGAAAATCAAAAAATATAAAACTTTTTGATTTTAATTAAGATTATTTTATGTGTCTGAAATCTGGCACGTCACATCATCTAGCAAGTCACGAGGTCCCCTGCCACAAAGACTTACAGGCTATGATGTTTATAATTTCATTGTCCAACATTACTTGTCCCTATTACAACTTGTTTTATTTATTTATTAGTGGTTATCAAATAACAAGACTAAAGGTTATTGTCATGTTTAATCTTTATAATTAAGTAATTAAGTAAATGAATCAGGACAATACACCACGTGTCATAAATGCAAAGTAATATACATTCTTGCATATCGAAAACGGTACGACAATCTCCCCTCCTTCTCCACAGAGATGGACTCGTTAACTGTGAGTGAGTGATAAATTATCATAAACTTTGTCTTTACCTGCTGTTGTTTTCTCACAAATAGGGATTGGTATCGTTAGGATTTTAACGATACACTTGATACTCTTCATCGGTTCAGTTCTTTATCAAAACTCTTATCAGTTCTCTTTCATCACTACATAACTTAAAGAAATAGATTATTTAAAAAAATATTAAATTCAGAACAGGATTAAAAAATAATATTTTATTATAACTAAATGTTTCCAGTGCAGCAACAGTAAGGTTTACAACAGCAAAGTCACTATTTAAACTCAATAATATCTAGTTTAGAAAGAATGAAGAACAGAGACATCAGTATCTGTCGTTCCTCCTGCCCTCCTTCTCCTCACTCTGCTGCTGCTGCTGCTGCTGCTGCTGCTAGAGAGGGGAGGGGCTGGTTTGTCTCAGCCAGTTTGTTATGGTTGGCATTTGTGTAACTAATGAAGTAGTCTGAAAATTCAGTTTTTAATATTGTTTGACTTACTTGTATAAAGCCCCTTTGTCATGGAGCCTCATGCATCTGCTAACAGACTTGCCACTAGGGCTGCAACGACTAGTCGATTAATCTATCGATTATTGAAACGAATAATCGACTATTGCGCAAAATGACACAATGCCTCTCATTTAGCTATTAGCCTTTAAATTAAACTTGAGGTTGTTTTAGGCATGTGCTAATTAACAGTCAAGACAGTAAAATAAATAAATGCTTTCAAAAATTCATCTTTTAATGAACGTTTCTGCTGCAGCAACAGAAAGTTCCACTGAAATCATGTCCTGATAAGCAGCTGATCTGCTGTTTAGTGATGGAGCAGCTTTCATGCCAGTACTGCAACACCCCGGGACAAACTGACACTGTATACAAAGAAAGGAATAACGTCGTGCATTTCATTTGCCGAATTTACAAGAGGGATCAATAATAACGATTTTGAAGTTTTTTTAAGGGAGTTTGGCCGCCTCACGCACACGAAAGTATGAAATTGTCCGGTGTTGTCTAATCTTGCACACTCGGCAGCAACACGTTCTCCAGCTGGGAACGTCGCCATGAGCGATGCATCGTTTATGATTTTAAAGTCAGGGCACATCTGGAACGTGAACGCGGCCGTTGTGTATCATGATTATGTGCTACTCACAGCACGATTACTGTAACAATCAAATTGACCAACTGTATAGAAAACGTTTCAGCTCATAACGTGAAGCTAGCTCACTAACTAGCTTACTGAGACGAGTCTTCATCATCCACAGAGACAACGTTACGTGCCTCCTCTTCAGATCTTAAACAGCTTTGCTGACTTCACGACCTTTCTGGCTGTGTGAAGAGTGAAATTCTGCGACACTCTGGAGGTTTTAGGTTGTGAAGGTGTTACTGCAGACCTGATGTTGTTTTAGTAACTTTAACGTTACTGTTCACATCACTTTACTTTGTTAAGCTGACGGTGTCGCTACGGTCCGATGACGTCATGAATGAATAGATTATTAAATTCGGTGGCAACTAATTTAATAATCGATTTTTGTCGACTACATCGATTAGTTGTTGCACCCCTACCTGCCACACAAATCTATATTATTACTTTTAATATTTCTTTTCCAAGAGATCAGGGTCCACTGTTGGGGTTTCACATTTTTCTCATTTTGAGACAGAAAAACCACAGCTAACTAAATGGTGCAATGTATTCTGGCAGGCCAAAATTCAACTTGGCCAGCTGACCCTTCTCTCACTTATAGTCGGATGTACACGAGATCTCTCACTAGATCTTTGATGAGCACACACCCAATTGCTGAGATATAAATACACAGTCATGTGATACAGTGTGACCATATGGCAGGCTTAACTGAGCATTTCAGGGTCACAGAGCAAAGCTTTCTGCTTGCTCATGAGCACCCTAGACATAGCAGCCCCACAGATGTGGAACCAGTAGGTCCACCAGCAGGAACATAAAGATTATAATGGGTATAAATGCCATTTGTTCACCACTAGCGACCAAAATGGGGACTACATCTACAACCAGGGGGTAAAATGACAAAGGAAACCCTGCTGTCCACCAGCGTCCTATCAAAATGCATAAATCCATGTGTCTTAGGTTACCACTTTAAGATCAGTACACAAAAACACACATGGCTTGCTCATGAATAAGTAATAGCATGTTGAGTAGAGGATTCAGATAATTTATTTTACACACGAAGCTGATACACTTGCTAAGAAATTAACCTACAGACAAAGTGCTGCTGAGAGCATGTAAAAATGCACAATTCCTGCTGAACAGGAGTTAACAGTCTAGTCCCTAGACACCCTCCTAATAATAACATAACAGTTTGCTAACACGCGTCAAAAGCCTATGACAGCAACACTACATGTTGGCAGTAGTGGCCCAGCAACCCTTATCCTGACAGAGCAGAGGTGGAAGAAATACTTTAAATTGAGTAAAAGTACGAATGCAACTCTGTGAAAATAATCTACTACAAGTAAAAGGCCTGCATTCAAAACCATACTTACAGCTTATGACTTAGGAGAATTTTCTCAACCCATAAAGGAACACCTCATCCTTAACTTTATCATAAAAAATCTAAATCTCCAAATTTGCAGATACATTGTTTCTATGGACCTTAAGGTTATGAAAAAAATGTAATCTGAAAAGTAATTAGTATCGACAACTGCCAGACAAATACAAGTACAATATTTGCCTCTGAGATGTAGTAGAAAAGAAGTATAAAGTTGTATAAAATGGAAATCCTACCTAAACTCACGTACAGCACCTGAGTAAATGTACCTAGTTACTTTCCACCACTGTGACATGGTGAACACCCCGAGCTTTGAAGTGCCAGTAACTGCATTTCTTCTGTGAAACCAGGGAAAGAAACTGAGGCTCAATTCCACTCATAAATCACAACAACAGAGGGGCGGTCACTCAACAAAACGAGCAGGATAAACAAAACAACACGCATGTACTACATATTGTCCTTCCCTTGCGATATAAACATGCCTGCGTGCGCGCACACACACACACACACCTCCGCAAAACACTGAGGAACGTTAAACCACTGAACAATGTGGTTGGTGGCTGGAAAGCGACCACACGTAGATGTGGCTAGCTAATAGTATTTACCTAACATAATGTTAGCCATTAACGATAGCCCATTAACGATAAATAGTGGCAAATCTAAACACATCTGTAAGACCTCACGTATCACTGTTATAACGTTAATTAGACGAGCAACCTAGCGTATCACGCTCTTCCACGCATGTGACATGGACAGCTAACCAGCCAGGTACTTGCCAATGCACAAGCCAAATGCAGCTAACTAACTAAGCTAGCTACGTTGGCTAACAGCATAAAATAAGCTAACCACTGCTAGCTAGCAGCTTATACGTGAGCTATTAAGACATTCATATTGCCTCCGTTTAAACAAGGACAAAACGAGTTAGTGGCGTCAGAGTAGCCTTTATTTAGTAAAATCTTACCTTTTGAGTATAGAGATTTGGGGGAATTGAGGTCGAGATCCGAGCTAAGGAGGGATATAAAATCAGAGGGCATCGCAGCGCTTCATCGAGGGGAGGGGAAGCGGACACTCTTTAGAAGAAACGAAGTCGGCAGCTTTTGGCCAATAAATATTACGTTTTACAAGCGGAATGTTAATATGCAGAGTATAACATCGAAACAATCTTGAGGCGACAAAAGCAAAACTTTCAATACCAAAAAGAACCGTTAACTAACACGTCTCACGTCAGTGTGTCTTTGCTGAGAGGAGACACATTTCGTGCTACGTTGAGACGAACACACACAAACACACACTTGCCTACAGTTGGTCGGCCCACCTCCTAGCCCCTCCCCATTTGTAGGGGCATGCGCAGTAGCTGGGTCGAGAATACAGTGAAGCTCCAATCATCATAGAGGGAAGTAATGACATTACATTGCATGTGTTCTTATTACAGTGGAGTTTTTCAATTTATCTGTACACCTTGGGTAGATAGACCGATTGTTGAATCAGTTGGATTAGGTGACTTGGAAAGACACTCTTAGTTTCCCTGAATCTTGAATGTTTAGAGAAGTTGATAGGTGTTTTTTATAAGAACTGAAACATACACGTATGTACAAAAGGTTTAGAACAGGTGGAGAAAATACTGTAAAGTAAGAATGCTTTCAACACAAACAAAATAGGAAGTGTGTGAACAGAAGAAATCTGAATCAAATCAATATTTGGTGTAACCACCCTTTGCCTTTAATACAGCATTAAACTGAGAACAGCAACAAGGCACATGGTAGTTGTACCGCATCAACAAGGTCTCTCCAAGGCATAAATTTTAAGGCAGACGTGTTGTCCAAGCTCTTTTGAAGAAAGAAACAGGCAACATTGAGGACCATAGGCGCAGTGGACGGCCTAAGAAACTTACTGCAGCAGATGAAAAACACATCATGCTTACTTACCTTCACAATTGCAAGATGTCCAGGAGTGCCATCAGCTCAGAACAGGCAGAAAACAGTGGGACCCTTGTACACACATCTACTGTCCAGAGACGTCTGGTCAGAAGTGGCCTTCACGAAAGACTTACAAGCAAAAAGCCACACCTCTGACATGGAAACAAGGCCAAGCGACTCACCTATACACGGAAACAGAGGAACTGCAGAAAAATGGCAGCAGGTGCTCGGGACTGATGAGTATGTGGCTTTAGCAGAAGGCAGTTTGTTCTCTGAACATGTTTATCCTGTACGTATTCCAAGCCAAATACTGTAGGTGTATTGGCCAGTGGTGGAAAAAGCATTCACATCTTGTAGCCTTAAGTAAAAGCAACAAATTATGAATATCTTACTTAGGTAAAAATACTACAATATATACCTAATATCAAAGTAAAAGTAATGATTAAGCAATGGAATGACCTCTGATAGTGTTACATTGTATAATATCTGATCATTATATCATTATGATTACTGATTCTAATGTTAAAGCTGGTGGAGGTGGAGCTAATTTGAAAGTAACTTTTAGACTATATTAAATCTATAACAATGCATCATATTTTATAAGATCATGATATGTTTTGTACTAAGGTAAAATCTTAATCTGCAAAGTAACTACTAACCTGATAAAAGTTTTTTGGAGTAAAAAGTAAAATATTTGTCTCTGAAATGTTGTGGAGTAGAAGTATAAAGTAACAACTGTAACTATATACAGTACTTGAGTAAATACATGCAACACTTAGTAGCCTACTTAGTCATTTTAATACATTCCACACCTGGTTGCTTTAAGCAATATGCAACATTTTGTTACCATTACAGAGCATCTCCCATTGAGTGTGAGAGTTCATCTGTGATCTTGGAAATGGCATTTTTACAAAAATAAATCTCATATGAGCAAAGTCTGTTGATCCAGTTAAATGCAGTCCGGTGAAGCAGTTAAAAGCACAGGAAAAAAGCTAGAAGGTTGACCATGAGTCAAGATTATTTTGTCAAACAACATCTTCCATGTATCTCACACACAGGAACGCTGTGAAAAAGCTCCCCGTCGGACCCCGTCTAGCAGAATGTTGTCAGGAGAGCACTGAGCTGATGGAGTGATGCATCAGGTCTCACAACTTCTGATTGCTGACATTTTATGTGCAAACACATCCACCCCCCTGGAGTAGATCATTGTTTGGGTAGAGAGCTACCAGTAAAACCAGTGTCAATACGTCATTTTGATTTTTTAAGAACTTGAGATAAGAAAGATTGTTCATGGCCCACATGAAGTTTTATGGGACTAACCATCCTACTTCCATCTCTTGTCCCACATCCTACCTATCATGTTATCAAAAGGTCTCCCTTATTCAATAAGATGTGTCTGTAAACATCAAGACATTGGAGACTCGCCCCAGTGAGCAGCCAGAGCCATCACTCACCTTTCCTTTCATGTGTCCCGTATTGCCATTGCAATGGTTGTCTACTCAAGCTTCAAAAGTCTAGCTTAATGTGTGAGAGAGTTCAGTTCTACATCCAGGCCCAGTTTTTTTTCCAGTTAATCACATCATCTTTGCACTGAAACATCATACATTCTTGTGACTGTGCCATGATGATGAGGTCATCCAGATAACAGAAGATTCTCATGCTTTAGTGCATCAGCAACTTGACCGCTGCTCCACATTGTTGGGGAGGTAGTGATTAGCCATGGGATGCTAATATGTCATTCTCTGAAAGGCAAACTGGAGCTGGAAGACCTCTCAGAATCCGTTTGCAAAAAGCAAAATGAAAGTAAGCATCTTTGCAGTTGGTAATACTAAACGAGTTGCATGGTTGAACATCAGCAGACTCTTTAAAGTCAGCATACACAACATCATGCTATGTCTCGTATTTCAAGTGTCCTGGAAATAGCCAGAATAGTGACTCTACTCCTGCTGTCCTTCACAGTAATAACAGAAACGGATCACTTAAAGCCATAGCTGAATCACTACACCAGCAAACAGGAGTGGCACAAGTGGAACTCAAGAAAGTAGCCTAGTGTGCAGAGAAGCTACTCTCCGAGTACATAACAATGCTGCCACTCTTGGTCATTTGTGAGGGGGCAGCAAGCTATAAAGCGGAGACTGGATAAAGCTTCTTTGTATTTGCTTATGTGGCCCTCACTCCTGCAACTTTCTACTTTACAACCACACTAAACTTCAAAAAGGATTTAGATTTGTATGTTATATATCAGCTGCCCTGGCTATCACTTTCTTTGTCTAGGTGTTATTAATAGAAGGTACAACGTAATTGGTTTATCAGGCTGATTAAAAATAGTGAAACAAATTCAGATCAGTTCAATGCAAAATACTTTATTTTCTCTACAGGGGTAATTTAAGGTAAGCTTTTGCAAAGACACAGAATAACTATTTACTCATACACACAGTCTTAAGATACAAAATAAATGTTTATAGAAACATAACAATGACTTAAAATGCCATTTCACATAATAGGGAAAGCACATGTGTTTTCTTTTAACATGGAGTCTTTGTCCCATGAAATGAAAGCCATCATTATTTGGATTCATTATTTACATTGTGCCCCCCAACCGTGACATTTCAAAATGTTCTCTATGAAAAAGGCCTATGAAAACACCGTCTGAATACAGATTGTCACAGTTTTAGTGCATAGAAAAGATACAGACCAGTGGCTAATGGGGAAGTTAATTATCTTCCCCTTCTTTCTACTCTCCTCAGTTGCATGAGTGTTATACTGGTGGTCAGTTTCCAGAAACAGAATCAGAATCAATGATATGTAAACGTACAAGGAAAGTGACTTCTATCTCACATTGCTGTCAATGTACATAAACAGAACAAGCATAAACAAACAGGACAACAAGAAAAACAAAAAACAGACACAAACTACGGTGTACAGTACAAACAACCATAAACAAAACAACAATTGTAGAGAGCAAGAGAATAGTGCAGTGAAAGACAGTGCAAAGGATGCTGGAATAAATAAACATTTGTGTGCAGGTATTATGTAAAAGAGGTAGGTGGATATAATAAATACAGTATATACTGCTACTCCATTGCTACAATGATGAATCACCACTAAGTAGTAAATGGTGGATGTTAGAGTCAGAGTTGCCAGGTTATTGCACAGGGATTGTTCCTGACAGTGTATGTCTGGAGTTATTTGTTGATCAGAGTGAAGGCCTGTAGGAAGAAACTGTTCCTGTGTCTGTTTGTTTTGGCTACAGTGCTCTGTAGCGCCTGCCAGAGGAGAGACGCTGGAACAGGTTGTGTCAGGAGTGTGATGGGTCTGCCGTGATGTTTCCTGACTCTGGGCATGCAAGTCCATAATTCCTAAATGGAGGGCTGGTTGGCACAGGGATGAGAGCCAACTGGATGCATTAGTGTGCTATTTATATATTACAATTAACAATTTCAAATGATTTATCATTCTTTTTTTTTCACAGGAGCCCCCTTCCCTAATAATTGTGCAGCCATCATCTGGAAACATTGACTTAGCAGACTGGCAGGACACCTGCAACAGGTACAAGGGAACAGCTGTGTGTGACAGATGTGGAAATTAAACTGAATTAAATGACTTGTAACTCCCCATTTAATTAGGCTATGTTTTGAGTTAAAATATTTTATTAGGAATAAATAGATAAAGTAGATCAAATATGCAGTAATGTAACTTTTTTCAATAACCTAAGGAAGGTTAGAGTCAAGGGCAACTGGACGTGTTTGAAGATAGGCTACTTGAAAAAAATAAAAACAAAACAAAACAAAACAAAACAAAAAGATAGGCTACTTGAAGAAGTTTCACCTCTCAACCAAGGGGCTTCCTCAGTTCTTTTTCAGTCAGTCATAGGAAAGCTGAAGCTCATTTTTTGTGTGAAAAAATATTTTGTCTCCCTTACTTTTTATTTTTATTTTATAGGCCTAAACGTGAGCCATTTAGAGACAGTATTTATCCTGTTCATTGGTTTTTATTTGGTTTAAGCAAAGGTGACTTGCAAAGGTTTTAGTCAAACTTTACTTTTTCTGCAGTGTATATAGTAAGCTAACTCAAGGCAGGTCCAATGGTCCAGTTTGAAAAGAAATGTTAAAACAATAAAACACTTTTCATCAGTCATGGGTCAAATAAGCCTACAGCAGCTGACTAATAAAGCCTATTCCCTGTAGCAGAAATGTTATAAATACACAAAAACACACAGTTTAAAATAATTCCAAAAATGCGCAAACAATGATTGTTTTTGTCCTATTTCGATTTGAAACTTTAAATATTCAAACAAGACCCTGGCTTTTGCGGGGGGTTTTTTGCCTCAAACTCCCAAAAGCCAATTCGGCAGTCGTCACCGTGTTGTTGCGGAAGTGCCGGTGGACAGTAATTCTCTACTCTGACAGTTGCATTCCTTCTTCAGAGCAGATTATCCTAACTGGTTTTGTGCTGTAGCGCCATCGTTTACGTGAATAAACTTGAGTCATGGCAGCCCTTAAATACGCAGGTTTGGACGATACAGATAGTGACGATGAGTTACCGCCCGGATGGGAAGAGAGATCTACGAAAGATGGTTGGGTCTACTATGCAAAGTAAGTGGTACACAGCTTGATAGCTATACTATACTATACTATATACTTTAAATCAGGTCTGGTATCTGAATTGGTAGCGTGAATTATAAAACCCACGGAGCTCAAGTTACGGTAGGTTTTGTGCGAACTGGTGCTAGAAATATATTTAATATGAAATATCTTGACAAGGCTGTGACTGTGGGATCGCGAGTCGTACTACAGTATTATGCAGTAGCTGCAGTACTGGAGGTTGGGAAATGAGATGCATAACTTCATGACAGATTTACTCTCTGAAATATACCCCCCCCCCCCCCCCCCCCCATCAGGGCTGCACTAGGCGGTTCGTGGTGACGTTGGAAGGAGACACAACCTGTAGTCATTTACTTAGAAAACGTAAAATTTAGCAATTGGAGAACTAAGAGCGCCAACATAGTGCATGGTAGCCTACAATGCTTAACATTTCATCTCTCTCAATACATCATGTCTTCATTGATATGTTAGACAAGTTTGTTTGCATGCCATGGGCTTATGTGATGTCTAATATTGGTTGTTTTGTGTGCCAGCTCTATTTGTTTCCTTTTATGAATATGTGTATGTGTCACGTGTCCACGTGCCTATGTTGAATCTGCTGTTGCTGTGATTGTGTGTGCCTTTTCTGTAATAGCATTAATTAGTTATTTAATTCCATATACTAAATGTAATAGAAAGTGATTTTGTCTGCCTTTTATAAATGTGTAACATCAACTGACCAAGAGACTGCAGATGAAAATGAGCCCTTTGGCTACATCTGGGACATTACCATCACACTGATTCTGGTCAGTGTGGGCTGCCACCAGTATATATAGATTAATTTTTTTTTCCAATCTTCTTTTGTCTCTGTGTACCAACAGCCATGATGAGATGAAGACACAGTGGGAGCACCCCAAGACAGGAAAGAAAAAACGTTGTGCTGGAGGTTTGTCTTACATGTATTTTATATCTGCTTGAGGGTCACTCACATATGGAGCAGCATGTTTAAATTGGCTTTGTATGCTCTCAAATGTAACCTTACTTCTGCAACTGCCTGCTTTTACAGTTGGCTTGTTAAATGCATTGTTTCTTGTTTTCAGGAACTTTGTGAAAGTGTTAGTAAATGTTGAATCATTTAAAAATGTTATAATATAACTGTCACCTATGGCAGTGTTATTCAGTTTGCTGCTATGCATTCAGGCTCTTAAAGAAAAATTATGTCTGTCATTTCCCACAGATTTACCGTATGGCTGGGAGAAAGAAACCGATGAAAAAGGACAGATCATTTATGTTGAGTACGTAGATTGATGATTCTACCTCTGGTTGCTTAACAAATGAAACAAATGAATTTGATTTGGTCTCACAGGACATGTTTTTTCTTTTTCATTTTCAGTCACATTAACAAGCGGACCACATATTTTGACCCGCGACAGGCTTTTACAGTAGAGGATGTGGTGGTGAAGCCAAAACGGTATGATGGAAATACTGCCGCTCTAGAGATCTTGCAGGGTCAGGACCTCTCTGACAAAGTTGTCCTCATTACTGGAGGCAACTGTGGCATTGGTGAGTTTCATAAAATCCTAATCTGTTTTACCAATTTAATAATTTGTTATAGCTATGATAAAATCATCAAGTGTATTTCCATAATTATACCATTAGGTGGCGATATGGTATTACACTGTAGAAGGGTGGTTGACAAGTCTGCGCTATGTGCAAGTCCCCATCTCTCCAAAACCAGGCATTCATCAACATTAGCCTCCAAAATGATACACTTAGACTCAACAAATCACTCCTTAATACCGAACATGATTGTATTGAAGTTCATTAGCTGGGCTGAATTGGATGTCATTGTTAACTGTAATGAATGGTGTCCATTTGTACCCAGCAAATGCATGGTTCACTATATAATGGTCTGGAAACTAATGTATTTCCTCTTTCCTTTAGTTTAAATTGGCACAAGTAGTGGCCATTTGTTCAGACTTGCTGCTTTGTTTGGGATAGATAATGCCAGCATGAGGGAAATCAAATAAACATAAAATCATTAATTGTCTTTATATTCAAATTCTTTGCCCAGGGAAAATCGCAGCAGTGTAATTACTGTGTGTGTATTACAAGATGCTGCAAAGCAGCACTGTAGTAAATAGATTTACAGCAGCCTGGGGACCTTTACTGAACAAAGAAGCTTGTGAACTTAAATGCCTTCCTGACCTTGATGTTCTTCCATCTATCTGTCTCTTATCTATAAACATGTTCAAGTCTATATCATATAGAGATAATACAAATCAGAATGTTGAAATGAGAAGTTCTTGTATGATGTCTGATTTCAAATTGTTGCACTGTAAACAGTTCAAAGTATTAATATTAACATACAGCATTCAAACACAAATGTACAATATGTTCCTTTTACCAGTGGTAATTTGTGGTGTTTTAACAACATATACCAGACATTAACTCATTTAAGTCTTTGATCAGCAAACTAGAAATTAGACAAATAAGTCACAATCACAGCACAACCGTGTAACAGATAAACAGTCAGTTATTGTTTAAACTCAGGATACATAAAAATAAGAAAACTATCCAACAGAACATAAAAAGTAGGGTTACTAATAAGCAAAACAAAAGTGTACCATTGCTAATAACAAAAATATCATTGCCAAACATAGGAACACAGACGAATCAAGCCGGACCCTCGTGGTTGAGATGGCTGCTTGAGAGGTTAAAAGTGCATAAACCCTACATTTAAACAGGAAATCATTCAGTTTTATTGACTTGCAATTGGATAACTGCAGCCATTCCTTCTTGCTTGAAGTTGTGTAAGAGATGTATCATCTTCCAGCAGAATAATGACCCATAACATGTGGCAAATCAAAGTGCCTGTTTGAATATTAAAATAAATTGCATCTCTGCCGGTCACTAGAACTCCATCATTATCTTAAAGAACTTTTGAAAAGGGAAAATGTCAAAGCACACTGTTAACATCACAAGACACTCTCTGAGAAACTCTAAAAGAAAACCATTTGGCACTTTGATTAAAGGTGGTGAGCAAGAGAAAATTGCAAATTGTTTTCACCACAAGAGGGCACAGTAGGTCCGTGATGCTGTTGTGGTTTTAAAATGTTATCATATTAACTGCTTCATATGAGCCTGCATCTGCCTTAATAAAAAAAACTATATAATGAAAAGATAATCCACATTTAGATTTGTTGCTATGTATTTAGTAAATGAATTTTTTTTTCATCGGAAAAAAAGCTGCTTTTCTTGAAAGAATGCATCAAATAGCTACAACACACTTTTTTATGGTGTGTGAATGCTTAATAAACCCATATTAACATAACCTTTGTTTTACTCTAACACATATAAAATATGCAGCACCCGTAATTAACTGTATTCTAATAGTAATTGCTACTACTCATGTGCTCCTTTGACATTCCACTACTGAAATGTGGTTATGCCAATTGGTTGGACCCACTTAGCATTTTAATAGCATCAATAGTGTTTTAATCCAAGTGTCAAGGCTATTTCCATTTTCTTCAGTGCTTATTTCCTCCACAGGAATGTGACATTTTTATTAGTATTGGTGGGATATTATTTAATTAGCAAATTTACATTTCAGCTCTTTGATTTAGTTCTTAATTCACATGAACATGAAAAGCACATATATGAGTTTATTTATGCATGAAATGTCATAGTCTCTGGTTTTGTGACCAGCCTCGAAGCCCCTTCGTAAAAGTGCTGGGAGGCAAGACAGTAATGCGATTTGTCTTGCCGATGTGATCATGCGCTCAGTTCACAACATTAGTCTTCCTCTCTCTGCTTTCTTTTGTAAATTAAAAACAAGTACCAACCTGAATGGTGTTTTTAATTGTGATAATGGAAACGAATGATCGCAGTTTGTTTTCCCTCGATTTCTGCGCCTCTCCGTCTCTCTACCTTCTCTTTAAAGGTTTTCTTACTCTTATAGACCTGTGGTTGTACACCTGTATCTCTGCATTGATTCCTAAGCGGCTTTGACCCAGGCCTGAGCCTCCTATCCATCCCCATTACACACTCCTGCTCTGGCTCTAATTCCCCTCCTATCAACTAACTCTCAGGCTATTTACTGGCCAGGGGTCCATGGAACAGTTGTCCTTAAAGGGCCATTGTCGTGATAGGTTTGGCACCCACTAGGTTTAGAGAGAAAACACTTTCTTTCTTAATAAATAATGAGTGCACGACATTGTTTTTAAAGATTCAAATCTCCAAATTTTCTTATTTATTTTTCCATACTCATCTTTAAGCCTTTTCCTTAAAATATTTTTTTTTCTCTTGAGGCAAGACTATATTTGCATTGTGCTCTCCTAGCACATGCAGTCATGTGTAACTACATATGTGTCACCCTACCTGGGGAGCAGCATCAGTCTCTCAGGCTCTTACAGCAGTTGCCATGTTGTCAGCATGACGTACGTTGAGTAACGGTCAGAAATAACATATTGACCCTTTGTCTCACTCAAATAAAGCATTTAGAAGGAGAAACTATCCTCCATTTGCTATTTTAATGTCAGTATAGTCTGATGGATGAAAGAAAACCTGTGTAAAAGGGTGTTATCACTTTTAATAGTTTTCTATTTCTAGACAAACACTTACAGAAAACCACAACTGTTTTTATTTTTGTGTTCTCACAACTTAACATATACTACATTAGCAGTCCTTTTCTGTCAACATGTTCAGAATTTGATCTGAACCTTTCTGGCCCTTCTGTACAGCAGGATGTTGTAGAGCAATACCTGCAGTTGCAAAGCTCTACTCAATCTAAATGCATGCACTACATCCCACATGGTATTGCTGTTTAGGTGCAGGGTCAATGCTGGAATAAGAAGCAGAAAAAGACTCAGGTGGTCCAGATAGGGAATAGCAAGGATTTGGAATTGAGCGCTTAATAATGTTTCAGTCTCTCTATGCATCGTCTCTACAGTGTTTTAGGACTTTGAATGTTATTCTTATTCATGAAAAACTAACATTGTTCTATGTTTGTGTTGATCCCAGTGTTGTGTTGGGAGGATTAAGTGTCAGGCCGTTGCTCTCCTCTCTCTGGATGGAGAGATCCCTAAGCATATTCAGTGAGTCGCAGAGCTGGGGGAGCCTCTGTGCGCAGATTAAACCCATAGCCTAGCTTTGTGGCTGATCATTAGATTGAGGCAGATTTGTTAAGCATAACTGCCATTAAATTGGCTGCAAAGCTCTGGTATTTACTGCACTACTGTTTATGAATAAGGACCCCCTTAAAGACCCGCGCAGCGATGCGTTAAACCCGAGCCTCGGTAAGGAGGGAAATGCATTATTCATAGTAGGAGGAATTAGATGGATAAAAAGATGTTCCTGGTGAGGGTGGCATGCGGTGCCTGTGTCTCAGTGTGTGTGTCTCTGAGCATCTCTGAGTGGCTGCGTGTGGTTTAGATGACATCCAGACTGCATCTGTGTTTATATTCGGAAGAAGATAGTATTTTGTGTGCGTGTCCACTGGGGGAGCGGCCGGCCTGTGTCCTGCGCTGTCTCCTCTGTGTCAGCTTGTGAAGTGAGCCACTGAGGAAATCGAAGGAGAGTTTTATTTATTTATTTATTTTCAACGGGCTTTTCATGTCCGCTCTGATGAATGTGTTTATTGGCTACGTAATGAGAACCAGTTATGGTTGGTTAGTCAAATTATTTAACTTTATTAACCTTGGATGAAATTTGCTATGCAGACCCAAACTGGTGTAACATGCAAGGAGTATTATGCTGGAGGCCAGAAGGGTTCAATAATGATTACAGCTCTAATATAATAGAGCTGAAATGGTTAGAGAGAGTGGATGGAATACATATATGTGCTTAAAGGCTGTAGGTAAAATAAAATGAAAGGGTACTGGGTTATTGTGTGTAGTCAAGTAGTTTATAGACCTATCGAGTTTACAGTCTGCAGATGATGAGGGGATGAAAGTTACATGATGGGGGAGGATTTCTTATGACAGTGATGAAAACAGGGCCAGCGCTCACTCAGGAGGTATGTGTGCATGAGCAGGGGTCTGGGGTCTGTTTATCTTTGTGCATGTGTGTGATTTGGTGGTGTGTTTATCAAGTTTACTGGCCTGTGTGGTGAGGTGAGGTGAGGTGAGGTGAGTTGGTCCGGTAAGGCTGGCTGCAGGAGGAGCATGGGTGACCAGTGAGATGTGAGGCCATGATGACAGATTGTGTAGGGAGTTGGAGGTTGACACAGAGGGTCAGAGGAAGAGAAGGGGGGAGGGGGGGGGGGGGGGGGCTACTAGATAGGGCTGCATGGATGGTGAGACAGCACTGGGGTTGGAGTGGGGGTGTATGAAGGAGGCAGAACAGGGACAGGGAGGGGTAATAGAACCACTCTAGTGCTCTCGCCTGGAACAGCTCAACCTTGGGCTGTAATTACTAACCATACATCCCACTTTTGGGGTGACATCTCCCTCCTCTTGGACTAATGGAGGGGAATTAGAGGGGATCTTAAAAGTCAGAAAGAGTAGGGGGTTGTGCCGTTCCTTGACTTCTTGGGACAAGAAATACACAGCAGCAGCAGGAACAAGTACACTCATCACCGAGAGAGTCAGGAGTTAGGCTGTGTCCAATTGTCACCCATTCACTTCTTTCTATATACAGTAGAAGACCCTCAGTAGTGAGCTGTAAAAAAAATATCTTGGACACATATGAATCATCATCATTTTGCATCATCAATGAGAGGTGTCGAGTTGCACAACTGTATAAATCAGCATCTATAAAATGTGGGTTTGTTAGCAGAAAGTAGTGATAATACAAAGAAAAATAAGAGGGGAGCCATCAAATGCATTTAATATGCTAAAAATATGGACAAATACAGTTTCTCAGTGGCATGAAAAAATGGATCACATTCTCAATATTCTTCATCAGTAGCGGAAACATCCCTTTGTTGTTTTGTGTTTATAATTTTATGTTATGACAAATTGGCATCACTTCCTGCTTTTAAAAAAAATATTTCTAGAGACAGTCAGCACTGGCCTCTTGATACATGAGGCAGAGAGCCAAGTTTGAAAAGTGTTGCAATGCAGAGCTGCCGATCAAGGCCTTTTTTTCTGCACATATTTATTCTAATGTTCTCTCTTTTCTGCGTTTGACAGCGTTTTTACATTAATCACTGCCCCATTTGGGAAGCCTAAGGTACATGCCATGGACACTACTTTTTTCAGTTCCCTTGTGGGAATGTTTGAGGGCACTTTATAATGCATACATTTCAAATAAAATTGTTGACAGTAAATATAGAACACTAAAAGGTAAGATAGGGAGATGTTTCGGGCAAGGCCCTAAAGGTAGTGAGATATGATCTTAGGGTAACGTTTAGGGAGTAACTGTGCAGTTGCATCATTTCACCTCATGGAGGGGGATGCAGCTTGCTTGTGAGCTAATAAATTACAAATTTATAAACACCAAACTAACAAAGTTTGATGAATAAATCAGGTTTGTTGCACCAAATGAAACTAGTCAGAGATCCACAGACATACAGTGCAATTACTATATCACATTTATTCATAACTTCAGAAATATAACACACAACATACTTTTATGTTGTGTGTTACAGTTGAAAATGCCATGTAATTCATTTGGGTAGGGTGATATGTAGTCTGTTCAGGATCTGTGTTGCTCTTGTGTTTTTTCAAAAGGGAATTGTGGGAACGCGACATGTTTACCCACAGGTCTTGTAATGATCTGAATTGACTTCTGTTTGCCCAATTGTACTGCAGAGCTTATTTTAGTTAAATGCCTCTTTGGATGCAGATCAAGAGCGAGAAGGAGCAGGCAGCTCCGGTTGCCAAATAAACACGTTTACTGACGAGGCTGGTAATGATCTCATTACATTGAGCCAATACACCTGTGTACGAGGGAGATCCAGAGAGGGGCGGCGGGCCAGGGAGGACAAACAAAGCGTGAAATCACTAAATCACACTCATTATTGGGGGATATCAGTAGGGCCAGGATCCTAATGTACCATGAAGAGCATTCACTGCTTAATGGACATTTTACAAAATTTTTTGTGCATTTTATACATTACAGTAAAACAAATTTTCAACAATAGCTGAGCCATTTACTGTATTTCTATTACATTGTGAATGACTGTACAAGCACACAATCATCTGCTTTAACTGGGCTGAACTGTGTTATCTTCATCTCCCAGCTTTTTCAAAATGTTCAGACCATGCACAGATTCTTCCTCTCATACTGTTTTTACCATGTTGTTGTTCAGTTTGACTAAAGAACCTGAAAGATCATTACAGCCCAGCATAATATTCGGGCTTTGTGTGTTGTAAAACAGCTTATGGCGTTTGTCGATCCAGCGGAGCAAAAGAAACCCCTGTCTGACCCCTTGTCATGTTCCACCCTCCGCGTACAATGCTGGAACAGGCTCTCTTTGTTGTACACCTGACCAGGAACTCATTTCAGTGCGGCCCCCTCTACCGGCAACATGGGTGAGAGGGTGGGGAGTCTCTGTTACAGCAACACCACTCTCGTTATTTCACAATTAATGTCAAGTCCTTGTTATTTGTCATTTGAAATACATGGCTTCGGTGCTGCTGCTGTTGTTGCTGCCATATTCTAATTTGTTCTCCATTATGGAAAACACTAGTGTCGATTAATTTCACTTTCATGGTTTGTACACACAACAAGTGAGTGTGAGGTGTTGTTGTTTACCAGCAGGCTGAAACAAAAGCTTTTCTTTTACAAATTTAGATTTTAATTTTTAATGTAACCTAATACAAGACATATCCTTAGCATTCCAGAGGTTTACTCCTATTATTTGAACTATTAGTGTTGACATTTTGGAATTTTATGACATTTTTTTCCTAAAGCCTGCTGCTCCACCTGCAAATTCAAAGCACATATGGACTGCAGGAGTCACACTGCTCATCTTTTCTGTTATGTTATTTTTATTTTCATTTCCATTTCATGTGAGCGAAATGATCTCCGCTCACAGACACAGTCCCCTCCATTACACCTAATAAGGTGTCATATAATTTAATTCCATGCTTCACTTGACAGAGAGGGCTTCCAATCCGACTCCAATTTTGACTTTTAATAGATATTAGTCCTTAACACTCTCCTCGCAATTAGGCCTCCCCGTTTTGCTCTTAATGAAAATCAGATTAAGACATATAATCTAATTACAGTTCATATTAATCCAACCTCTGATACACTCGGCCTGCTGCTCTGCCTCTCAGATCCCCTTTGCCGCAATCACTTATTGTGTTAATTTGTCAATCAGGACAGTATGTGTGTGTGTGTGTGTGTGTGTCTGACTGGTTTTTATTTACTGCAGAGGTGGGATGGAAAAATGTGACACTGTTAAACTTTTTCATGACACTTTGAAGGATAGTAAATGTCCAAGGAAATAAAAATACAGTAAAGGGGGGGGGGGGGGGGGTAATCTCATAAATTAATTGAACCTATGAGTTGAAATGACCCATTTAGACTTGTAATTTAGAAATGAACTTCTCTCCCTCTATCTTCAGTTTTTGTCAGTTTTATCGTGACTACATGATTTGGATGGAGCCATGAAGTAGTCTTGGACTGATAAATTCTGTGTTTATCTGCGGACCTCGTTTCATGGGAAAAACGTCCTTATCAGGGGCCCCTTTGATGTGCTGAAATATCACACCAGGGTTCAGTTTAAATGTCTTGTCTGTTCGATTGTTCATTTGACTCCCTCTATTATGAGCCATGTTTTCATAATTACTGCCATCACTGTATAATTACCAGCATAATTAACAATCAACCTCCCTTCCTCTAACCCAGTATGAGCAACGATACCTTCATGAGAGCTGGCGGTCGGATCCAAAACTTTATCTAAGAGGAGAGGAAAAAGTCTTGAACCACAATAATTCAATCAGTTTCATCACTTCAGAGAGAAATGATTAACTCCCTCTACTAGACCACTGTGTTACTCAATGAAAGAAATTATATGGAAAATTGATAGGCATTTCAACTTGCACCCCCAACCCTCACAATCACCACCCCATTAGAGTCAACCCCTGAGAATCAAAGTTATCTTCAGAAAAAAAACTAATCTTTAAAGCATTGCTTGCATTCATTCTTTTTTTCTCTTTGTGTCTTTGTCTGTCTCCCTGATCCTGTCTCAGGCTTTGAGACAGCCAAGTCTTTTGCTCTTCATGGTGCCCATGTGATCCTGGCGTGCCGAAACCTGTCCCGGGCCAGCAAGGCAGTTAGCCTCATACAGCAGGAGTGGGTAAGTGACAGTCGAAACTTCAAGAACTGCTCAATTTTGCTCGAAACTCTTTTGAAAGCTGTGTTTCCTAAACCTCTCCTTGTCATGCATGTTTTAAATCTCTCCCTACTCCAACACAGCTGATTCAAATGATCAGCTTGTTATGAAATCCTGAAGCTACTTGATAAAAAGCTGATCATTTAAATCCCAATGAAAAGACCAAAACCAACAGTGAGTTGGTCCTAGTGACAAATATTACCTGTGTAGCCAAAGCCTGAAATACACTAGCTTATTTTTTTGTACTTAAGTATACTCTGTATAAACAAGAACTATATTTGTCTGGCTGTCCTGGAGGAAGGATCCGTCTTCTTCTTGAGGTTACTCGCTTTTTCGTCCTCCGTTAAGGTTTTTCTTTTTCTAAAGACCCTCCATTAGGTTTTTCCGGAACCAAATCAAAGATTTAAGTGTTGTATGTTGTTCAGATAGCAAAGATCTCTGAGATTCACTTGACTTCTTCAAAATGTAAGTTACATTAATTTAAACGTCAGTAATAAATTATCCAAATGTCTATATAATGAACATATTAAAATCTCCCTTGTTAAAGACTACCCTTTTTCAAAATAAAAAAAAGTTGTTAAAAAAAATGTTTAGATTCTCACAGACTACCTGCACGCTTCCCAGGAAAGGTAGAAAAACTTCTGTGTGGGGGTGTCTGCATGAAGCACGAGAGACAGAGAGAGAGAGAGAGAGAGAGGGAGACAGAGAGAAAGTGAGTGAGGGCATCTGATAATTACCTGAGATTATTGCTCTAATATCGCTGCGCTTGTGACGCGTCCCCAGATTTACGAGTGTGGGAAAATAAACAAGTGAAATGTGGGTGCTGGAGCAGAAAGAATAAGCCATTAGCACTGGGTTGATTACGGAGCGCAGGACTTGAAGAAGAAGGAGAGTGAGTGCTCAGTGCAGATATGGAGAGAAAGAGAGAGAAGCTGAGCGGGAGGGAAAAAGAAGGTGAGCGAGAGAGGGAGACAAACGCCTATGAGCGAGAGTAGATCTGCAGTGTTTAAACTCACCCCCAAGTCTCTAATTGAAGTATGCCCCTGGGGCTGTCAGTGCTGCTCCACAGTGTGAAATCCAGAGTACAAATCTATTAATGTAGCTGCTTTGTCTAAATGAGTGAGGAAAAGCTCTGATCCAAGCACCAGATTCTGCAGTCAAATTGATTTTCAGGCTTTACACCTGCCTCCAAATTATCCAAGATGTTGTTAAATGTTTGTGAATTAAGACACTGTAGCTGCTTAAAATTAAATGAATGGTGACCTCTGCAGTGTAAATGATAATCTTCCATTGTTGTAGTGCATTGGCATGTGGAATGTGCAGGTTGTCAGCAAATTAAATGATTGAGTTAACAGAATTCTGTATAGTTCAAATAGAGCATGAGTTGTGAATTAGCATTCCCTAAGCTCACTCCATATTTCCTTCTTAAGGAATCCCCCGTTATAGGCTAATGAATAAAAGTCACAATATCAGAATAAATCTTTGCTGCAAATTCTCCCCTCTGGCGACATTATTAATAGATTCAGGAGAAGAATAGAGAGGAGGATTAATCTTTAAGATGATGGATGGACTCTGCTCGCCTTCCCATGCTCCTGCGTTAAGGTCATTTTGATAAGAGGGTATATTTTGGGGTCCTCTGTACAAAAGGTCATCATATCTACTTCCAGGTCCCTCTCAGAGTTCCGCTCTGGCTGCCAGGAGTGGAACTGCTGTCCCGATTGCACGGGACCTCTGACCTTTAACTACCTGCTTACTATTGCTCTGAACTCTGTCTTTCTCTAACTCTCTCTGTGTGTCTCTGGCTGTGTGGGCCAGTGTTGCTGTTCAGAGGTGAGAGTGATGGCTCGGCCGCAGCGCAGTGCCGGGTTCTGACAGTGGGTATAATAGTGGGGTCACTGCTGGATAATGGGCAGGTCAGAACAGCCACTGGCTGTTAGGAAGAGCAGGGTCAGAGGGCTTATCCTTCTCAGCCAATCATACTGAGCTCTGCCAGGAACGGCTACAGTAGAAAGAGAACAATATACTTTACAGAAGATTCCTGAAACAAAAATAAATCTGTCCTGTACTTCCACTTAAGCTTCAGTTAATATGAGTACAAGTATTTGTTTCTATATTTAACTGTTCACACATTCATGTTGACATTATGGAGCTTGTTTGGCACTGTAGAGATCGTATTACCTGTTTGTGTTTTTGCTGCCTTTTTTTTAATGATGAAATTAGTTTCTTGCTGTGTTTATGCTACACACTGTTTTCATGATGGGACTTTAGCTGCATCCCCACCGCAGGCCTAATCTGAGCAGAATGTGTTGTTTTCTCTTCCTGTATTCGAGCTGTGAGGTGAATCCCCTCCAGCAGGCTCATTAGGGGAGTTTAGAGTGGCGGAGAGGGGATAAACATTTACCTTATGATTGTGTTTTACAATAAGCCTGATGCTGGTTGCCTTTATTGGGTTCAAAGGGGGCTGTTTTTACAGGCTGTGATGAAGCCACAGTAAAACCAGGAGGGGATTAAGCGGCAGATGGGTGCTGGGAGGGATGGGAATACACATAGAGAAAGTGCTGAGAGTTAAGCGTGGTAAAAGATTTGCACTTAAAAGAGACAGAGGCAGATAGATTTGGGAAGGCAAAATCTTTGATTCATGTACACTAACAAATGTAATTTTGCGGATTGTAATACATTTTGCATCTTATTATTGTCGTATAACTCTACTGTGCAAATATTTCAGCTCTGCAGCTCTTGGCCTCTGCCTTAAGAGGACTTAACTTAGCTGTTTTCCCACAGCCCCTAAACTATCTATCTCCTATTCCGCTCACAGTACATGCAGGTTAAGTTGCTGGTTAACAACCAAAGAGTTGCCTGCATGCCAGAGATTTATTTTTCCTGATTGCCTTTAAAATTCTGCTTATCTTTGACTCCAATGTCTCCCTCAGAGAGCTGTAATGGACTCCCCTGAGATACAGCCCACTGCTTGGTGGGCCAACCAAGGCCCTTGGCCCCTGAGTAGAATACAATACACATACGGCCATACATGGTCTTATTTAGTAATTTCTTCCCTTTTTTTAAATCCAAAATGCTTATTTCCCCCACTGCCCCTTTGTACAACACATGCTAATGAGATGCTTTGTAAGGCCGTTAATTAGCGAGCTAGTCACTGATTGCTGTGCTTGTTTTTGTTGTGTGTGTGGTGGGGGGGTATTAATATGGCTGTGTGCCGCTGAGGAGAGTTCTGTCAGGGTCTGCTCTGGAACCAATTAGGCTAAAGCTCAGTGTCCACTGAGGCTGCTGGGAGAAAAAAAGCCTGCTGTTTGCAATGTCAAACAGCAACATTAACACAGGCCAGAGAGGCAGAGAGAGACAAGCAGACTGAGAGGCGATAAGAGACAGACAGACAGACAGTAATACTGTCATAACCTCTGCCACAAACCTCTACCTTCACCATTTTGTCAGATTGCAGCTATATATATATATATATATATATATATATATATATATTATATATATATATATATATATATATAATATATATATATATATATATATATATTATATATATATAGAGAGAGAGAGAGAGAGAGAGAGAGAGAGAGAGAGAGAGAGAGAGAGAGAGAGAGAGAGAGAGAGAGAGAGAGAGAGAGAGAGAGAGAGAGAGAGAGAGAGAGAGAGAGAGAGAGAGAGAGAGAGAGAGAGAGAGAGAGAATACATCCTCTTTTGCTGGTTTTCATGTTCTCATGCTGTAGGATAAGGTAACATCAGAATCAATGAGCCACAGTGTTCCTCCATAGTGTCTGCTATTTCAGGTGAAATGACTGGATTTTTATAAAGCAAAGGTGGAAAAGGTCTTGATTGACAGATGTAAAGAAGACCTTCCCTCCTCTCCTTGATGTCATACATACACTTGTGTTCCCCTACCTTCAGAATACACAATCTTCACACTGGCCTTTCACTGCTCATGTCCCGTGTTTGTCCGTCATCGATGACAGGCATATGAGATGGCACAGTTCTGGATGAGTCCCATATAGAAAACTACTGTCTTGCATGACTGTGTTCATTAGGACAAATGCATGCATTCAGACCTCTGAATCACACTTGTTTGCATAGGAAAAGTGGTGTACGTGTATGTGTGTGGACGCATTTGTGCCTGCGTTTGCCCGGTGCATAACCTCTTGTGTCAGTCTGACAGGCCCTGTGCCCCGCTGGCCAGCATGCCATGCCACGCTCCTCCTGCTGAGGCCAACAGGAAGTGACACATGTGAAATGCTGACCTGGTCGTTTGAACCCCCCTCCAGGGCCTCAGGATGCTGCTCTTTTTATTCACTCTTCCTTCTCTCCCTGGCTCTTTCTTCTTTTTTTTTTCATCTTTCAGAAAGGCCCTCAAAATACTTTTGTCCGCCTCCTTTCGATTCCGTACTACTCTTTCCCTCTTCTTTTCTCTCCCAAAAGGATTAAGGAAATCGCAGCACATTTCCCAGGTCAATGAGCAGGTCTGTAACACTCTTCTCTGCTGCCAAAGTGCCCAGTAGATCATAGTCCATCATTTTTAGGTCGTACATCTTGCAGTATGTAAAACTTGAGTGTTCTTTTTAATTATTTGTCTGATGTGACATCATGTCATAACAAGCCTATTTTTTGCAGTCAAGTACAAAAAACAAGGCAACACCTAATACCAAAACAACAATTTCCCTCATTTGCTTTAATTAAAACATATATACCTTTTTATGGTAGTTTAGGATGTCTCACTTGGTGCACTTTCTTTCATTAAATAGCATCGGCAAAAGTCATTCTTTTGCATGTGGTTGTGCTGACACACAACTGTTAAAGCTCAGATAAATCCAGTGGAGATTGTTGTTGGTGATGTCGACGCTTGTACTTAAGCAGCCCTAGAGCCCCTTTTTAGATTGTCCCCAGACTATACCCACATTATACCAGCACTTCCCCCCTCTTCCTGCTCTCCAAGTCCTCTCCTC